CAGCCCCAGCCCCAGCCCCAGCCCCAGCCCCAGCCCCAGCCCCAGCCAGCTGAGAATGCTGGAGGGCTGCATGCAGACCATCATGTCTGATGGGTTGGAACCAAGGATGTAAGACTGTCAACAGCAGGACTCTGCGCTTGCTTGTCTTTTACTGCTGGATGGTTTCAGGCCATTCCAAAATATTCCCTGCCAGAGAAATAATCAGATACAGGGCTGCATCTAGAGGTCGAGGACCTGTGTGGTAGCTGCTCCCTAGCTCATAAGTACTCCCATTGTCTGAATTCTCCAGAGCAGCACGTTTGAAGGAGACCGAGGGATCCTTAGCCAGGGTGTTCACGATCCATGCTCTAGCGTCCCAAGAGAGTCTTGAAAGGATACAGAGAATCAAATACAGTGATTGGAAAGTCCTCCACCAGAAACTACTCTGAAGCACAAAGCATTCTGATTGCCAAAGTGACACTCAGAATGCTTCCCATTTGGAGGTCTTTGGAATTTTCAGACCGGGGATGCTCATGTAGCAAACTCTATGCAAACTATTCCAAAATCACCAAGTCCCCAAGCCCCCAAACACTTTGACTGTTAGCAATTTGGGAGAAGAATATTTAATATGTATTTTATGCTTGAATTTTTAATTTGACACATATATTTCTAATCTAAGTTATTTAACTGTAAATATATAGGTTCTATCAAATTTGAAATATTAGAATCTGGGCTTAAAACTGTCAGCCTCTATTTTAGGTGGAATCTTTATACCACTGTAATTCTGGGCACAAATAATTCTTATAAACACAGCTCCCTTGTCTCTTGTTTATTTTACTTGGTTTCCTTTCCTCTTCCTCCCTCTTTCTTTTCCTGTCTTCCTCCTCTTCTTTGAGCTTCTTTCCTTTTACTTCTTTTTAAAAGATTTATTTATAAATTGTGTAGATAGTATTTTGCCCACATGTATGCCTGTAGGCCAGAAGAAGAGGCTACCATATCCTATTATAGATGGTTGTGAGCCACCATGTGGTGGCTGGGAATAGGAACTCTGGAAGAAAAGCCAGTGCTCTTAACCTCTGAGCCATCTCTTCAGCTCTACCTTTCCTTTCTAAGACAGGGCTCTGCTATGTGGTTCAGACTGACTTTGAACTCCCAGTCCTCCTGCTTCACCATTCCCAGGCTCTCTGAATACTGCCAAGCATCATCATGCATATTTTTACACTTGCATTTCTAGTGCATTTTCATTAGGATTTTGTCATATTGCAAAACTTTAGTTTTGAAACTCCTTCATTAATTGCTCTACTTAGATTTCTTTCAAATGTAAGTATTTAAGTAACATAATTTCTTTAGGCCATAGTATATTTTTAAAAAAAGTCTTCTGAACTGATTTAAGGATGCTACTATTGGTATATAACTCACAGAAGTGATATGGATCACAAAGGTCTAGTTGGAAATTCTTGTCTGTCAAATATGACACTTTGTTTTAAGTTGACCTATGCATCCACAGGTAGCTTTTTATTTCTAGAACTGAGCAACCAATGCAACTGTGGCCCTTGGTTCTATCACTGCCTTATTGCAGATGTAGGAACCTGTAGAACTGGTAATGAGCAATATTTGTGCAGCCATAATACTCGGTTCCTTGAAATTTCCAGGTTATCTGCCAAGAATAATGTTTTCTTTAAATGTATGTCCACTGACAGCTTGATCAGTTTTTACTTCACTATTTTGTTAAGAAGGTCAAGTTAAAGAAATTAAACCCATCTGAATTTTGAAAATATTAGACTGATAGTTAACACACACCAATGCTGTGGCTTGGCCCCATGCTTGGTTCTTGAGTCAGTTGTATAAAAGTAGGAGTTGGGTAAGTTGAGGGGAACCTGTATTTCTTGCAGTGTCGTGGCAAGAGAAGTAATAGTGGAGGCAGAGGTGGCCCTTGGCAGATGAGGTTTCTACAGAATCCATGTGTAGTTGAGAAATTAAAGCAGGTGCGGGAGGTGCACTTAGCTACAGAAGAGCCCTCCCACCGAGGGTTCTCACTCTCTAATAATAGTGTGGAGCTTTGGAGACTGTTTCCTGCAGGAGTTAGAACCACCACAGTCTGCCTACTCATGGGTGCCCCTCTTTTGCTTATGCCAGGATGTGATGTCTGGGAATGGCAGCTGCATCCTCCAGGGCACTCATCCCTCACCTCCTATTCTTGCCTCTTCCACGGTCACCTTAATCTGGCTAACTGCCAGCACATCTTTTCAGACCAGAGAGCCCAGTATCCCCCTGAACTCCTGCCTTTCATGTAGAACTTTTCAAAGATTCTGGTAGCTCGACTTTCAAAACAGATCCTACATCTAACCGTGGTTCACTAGCCCATGGCTTCCCCTGTTTTACGCTTGGCTCTCTCACGTTCATCACTATAGTCTTCCAGCCAGCCAACCCTATTCACCTCCTCTTCTCTCCCAGTTGTATCTGTTCTCGGCACAGCAGCCAGAGTGACCTAAGTGAAGACGAATGCCTCCGGGCTCAGATCCCTCCCCTTCTGTGGCTCTAGTCTCTCTGGGTAAGCTGAGAGCTGAAGCCAACGAGGTTACCTGCCCTGCTTTTTATCTCCTCTCTTACATTCCCTCTGTACCTTTCTTCCTTGATCTCCTCCCCACTGCCTTGATGCTATCCATCCCTGTTGCTTACAAATGATCTTCTGGGATTTTGCATGCACTGTTCTCTCTACTCAGAGAATCACTTGATGGGTTCCCTTGCTTTCTTCTGTTGTCTTCCCAAACACCACCTCTTGACTTGCTTCTTCCCAAACCTTCCCATGCTATGTTCAGTCTGTGATGTTTATTGCCCTTCCCCCAACTCTTTTCACTGTTGGGAAGAGAAGAGCATGGTAGCCAGTACACTGAGCTATGTTCCAGTCCCCATTTTATTCTCTTTGCTGCTCTCTTCCTCCAATAAACTTCTCTCCTTCTGACATCCTTAGTGCCCACTTGTCCACATGCTCCTTGCCTTCAGGTCTTTCCCCGCGCCCGATTAGCAACTCTCATGTGCTGGGGTTGAGCCCCACTGTACCTCCAGATCCTAGCTCAATGCCTCAATTGCAGTAGGCAAATATCCTTTGTGGAAGGAATGAACAAACCCAAAACTCTTCATTAACCCAGGGCGTGGGGACTAAGTTGATCCAAACTAAAGTCATCACATCACAATGGGATGCTGTGTGTTAGTTAAGTTCTGGGAACTCTGGCAGAGATGATGGCTGTTTCCCTGGGACCTGTGAGGAACAAAGCAGCTATTGACTTCCCTTTCCTTCTCTTCTTTTCCTTTCCCTTCCCTTCCCTTCCCTTCTTCCCTTCTTCCCTTCCCTTCACTTCCCTTTCCTTCCTTTCCCTTCCCTCCCTCCTTCCCTCCGTCCTTCCCTCCGTCCTTCCCTCCCTCCTCCCCTTTATCCTTCTCTTCCCTTCCCTCCCTCGTTCTCTCCCTCCCTACCTTCCCTCCTCTCTTTTTAAGCACATCTATCTTTGTCACCCTGGTTGGCTAGGTGCTTGTTGGATCACTAAGGGTGACACTGAACTTGAAGTGATTCTCCTGTTTTAGGCCCCCAGGTGCTGGAATTAGACCTCACCATTCCAGTCTACAGAATCACATATACCATGGACAGATGGACAGCTATATATCCCTAAGCCCACTTTCCTGGCCCTCAGAACTTCATTGCTCTCCAGTAATGTCGCAGATGTGGCAAGTAATTTTAAACATAACTGGTTTCTAGGAAAATTATAATGGAACCATTACCATACTGAGTTCAGATATTCCACTAATAAACACCTGTGCTCTGAAGGGTATCACTAGAGACCTTCAGATTTCTTTGAAGCCGAGCTTAGTTCAAATTAATAGTTGCATTTGCAGAAATGTCTAGCTTCACTTTTAAAATTCCATTTGCCTATTGAACTCATCACTGGGAGAGCCTACTCTGTGGAAGGCATTGACCACAGCCATGGGAGAGCACTTAGAAATGTCTTAGCCACATTTCCTCTTTCAGCCCTTTACAACCAGGCTGTGTAATTAACTCATTTAAAGAAAGGTCAGGCACTGAGACTTGATAAATGTTTGAGGAGATGGGATGCTAATTACCCCGATTGGATCAATATACATTATATACTGTTCTGTGTTGACACACTGTGCTCATACATATGTACAGTTGTGTGCAGATGTTTCACCAGAATACTGTAAGAATGGGTAGGTATACTGTAGGTCACAGATGGGAACAATCCTGCTTTTTCAAAATGAAAAGCAGAGACCCAGCTCTTCTAAAGGGAAGATGGACAATGCTTTCCCTATTGTTTGTCCCTGCATCAGTGAAGGGTAAGCTTTTTCCTAGGCAACTAGTGCCCTTAGGAGATTGGGTGATGGCACTGATCTGGAAAGTGACTCTCTACAGCATTTTCAAGGCTCCTTCAGAATCTTGGGTTAAAAACAAATATAAATCGTTAAGAAATCAAAATCTATGTCTCTGTACCCTTGCCTCAACCTGGTGTTGCTTTGATTAAGTCCTGGTTGCAGGACAGACACTGAGGCCTTGCCTACACCAAGAGCAGGCATGGGAGCTTCCTTGGGACAATTGATAAACAACCACTCCTTGATTCTAATTTCCGTGTTCCCTGGCCACTCCCCTGCCTGGCCTGACCCAGCCTTGGTCTTGGACATGTTCAAGAATGAAGCTCAATACTGAAGGAAGGAGGGCCAGAGTTCCCGGGGGAGCTGGGAGGGCAGGAGTGAGGGTTGCCTGAGTGAGGCAGGAGTTAGATGAATATTCAGGGAATGGTTTTCAGCATTGGCCTTTAGTTCCTGCAGCTTCATTTCACTAAGTTCTGTTCTGAAATCTGATCCACATAATCTT